TTCTACTATAAAAAATGAAGTCATGAAATTTTCAGACAAATGGATAGACCTAGAAAATATTATATTGAGTGAGGTAAACCAGACCCCCAAAGACAAACATTGCATGTTCTCCCTCCTCTGTTTCTCAGCTCCCAAACTAGACAGTGGAGAAGACCCAATTCTGCCCTAATTTGGGGTCGAGGGCATGTTTGTGTTTTCTTGCAGGAAAAGAATAAAGCTCTGGTGGCTGTGAGACCATTTAGTGAGATGCATGGAGCAGAGAAAAACTGGACCTGTTACCGTGGGAGCCTGCCCAAGCCAATCAAGTGAAATCTCCTAAACCATTGTTCCTGACCCCTGATGTCATGGAATCTACAGCCTGAGAAAGAAAGGAAACAGTCGGTTCCAGGTTTCCAGTTTCTCAACAGGTCGGCTGCATCAACCTTCCGGACCCATGAGTTTTCATCCCAAAGTCAACAAAGAACCGAAAGATCAGCAGGTTGCCCTTGACACACCATGAAACAACAGAATTCATTTTGCCAGTTTTTCCCTTTGGGGTAAAAAAGGACCCATTTAAAACAATTGGACACTGGTATGGACCGTGATGAGTGGCAAAAGCTCCTTTTCAGTATTTGAACAGGATACGGCCACTTGAAATATCAGCCTTGGTGGTTCTTGTTTTTGGAATCGTACCTATGCCAATATATTTTTCTGGAGAAATGCAACTTGTCCTAATGTGGCAAAAAAGAGACTTTGGCATCACGGCCACTGTTGTCGCAGCCATCGCCATATCGGCCACTGCGGCTGCTGTGGCCAGAATTGCCGTTGCCCAATCTTCTGCCAAAGCAGGGACCGTTAACAGCCTTGCTGGTAGAGTTAGAGAAGCGCTGTCCACCCAGAATGCACTCAATTCACATATTCAGCTGAGGCTGCTGATGTTAAATCAACAACCTGCATCACCACAGGAACAAATTGGTGCTCTGTGGATAGTGCAACAAGCCTCTTGTTCATATTTTTATCATGCTGTATGTGTAACATCAATGAGTGTACCTAATGTATCTGTGCAAGTGTGCCTTCTAAATGCTTTCCTGAGTGGATCTTGGAATAACTGTAAACTTTATCACTGTTTTGACCATCAAATTGTAACTGTAAATCATATGTGGGTTACCCTGGTAACAGAGGAAGGCTGGTAGAACACTATGGCCCAGATCGGGGGATGGGTACAGCGATGGGGAGGCGTTATGTCAATGGGAATCCTGGGAATGGTGACAGTGGTGGTAGGCATTCTGGCCTTATGCCGAGTTCAAACGTGCCTTGTTCCCTAGGCAACAGATCTGTCACCAAGTATTGCTCAGCTTAGGCCATGGCAATCCCAGTAGCCATGAAGTCTGGTTACAAATGATTCAAGGATGAGGTTCTCTGATGACGGACAACCTGTGGGGAAGAGACCTCCCGCCTAAGACAGGGGTCACAATGTCCCCCAAAGATGGATAAGAGAAGGTGACCCTACTTGACCTAAGACAGGAATGCCTCATTAGAAAATAAAAAAAGGGGGAATTGTGGGAACAAGAGACCTTGGCCCGTGGCCCACTTCCCCATCAGCCTGGGAGCAGGCAGCTGTAACTGGTACAAAACATGTTTACCAAAAACAATCCGGTGTAAGTTTCTGATGTTTTTGGAAGGGCTCGCCCATGGGAACACCGTGACCCTGACCTTTCCGATGACTAACCGTCTCTTCCTGACCCCCCACCCCCACCTCTGGTGTCAGGGTATATAACCAGCTGGGGTAAGAATAAAGCGAAGTCTTCTTTTACCACCGACTGGTCTCTGTGTCATCAATCCCGACACCCTCCACAGATTCTCGGTCCCAGGCTGCACAGTGGTCACAGCAGTGAACATGTAACCTAGAGTAGCAACAGAAGCTAGGAAAGTGAAAAGGGACCATGAGAGGGCATATTTGTATTTACCTAAAATTATATACAATACACATAAGTGTGCAGACATGAGAAATCTATGTACTCACTGATAGGGGAGTCCAAGAGACTTCCCCAGACAATGTAGGCTTTTACTGTTGTCCTCGGTTGCCTGTCTTGGTTGCTGAAGACACCATGCCCTTCAAACACAGGACTCAAAAGATTCAAGCTGTATCTGACCTGAAAACCTTCTCCCTGGGGACTAGCATTCATAGTTTCAGAAGGTGCTATTCAAGCTGCCAAGGGAAGGATGCAAGCAATAGTTGTTCCCAGATGCAAAGTCTATGAATCACAATAATGACCAGCATGACATGATATCTCTAATGACACAATAGTGTTACTCATGTCTTGGTGGTAACCAGCAGCTATCTAATAGGACGTAAGGTCCACTCAACAAAAGGGAAGTCATGCCAGGTACTGGAAATCTAGCAGACTACTCAGGGCTAGTGAGGTCATGAATCTCAGAGGAGAACTTACACCCACTTTACTAAACCAATATAATCCCTAACTGCATTCTAAATATCCATCCCTGTGCCCACAGATAAGCACGGCCCCCAATCTGTCATCAGAGAAGCTGCTCTTTGCAACACACAGAAATCACCTCAGAGATCCACACAACTGATCATGGGGTGACCAGCCCCCGTGGACACACTACAGTGTAAGTTCTGCACTTCAGGCTCAAGGGAACATCATGGAAGAGGAGACAGAAACATGTATGAGACAGAGGACAAGAAACTGCTGTGAGATCGCATCTCCTGGGAATGACAGGGAAGCTTCATCCACGATACCTCAACATGTGGTTACTTAACAAGTTCTGAAGAACAATAGACGATATCCCAGTGTTGAAGGGGGAGAGGAATTTCGCAGGATCCTGCCTTGGGATACAGAACTAAGAGATGTTGAGAGTAGAAGTATTCTTCCTCCAGGGACAAGACCCCTAAGTGGTTCTCCAATACCAAGCAGTAAGCTCGGAAATCATGTACTTGGTAAAAGCACTGAATGGATTAAGCAGGTAGTAGTAGTAGTAGTGTGTGTGTGTGTGTGTGTGTGTGTGTGTGTGTGTGTGTGTAATAAAGAAGAGGCCAGGGAATTGAGAGTGTGGGAGGAATTGGAAGAAGGAAAGGAATAGAGGGAAATGATGTAATTATATTGCAATAAAAATAAAACATTTTGAACTAAATAAAAGTAATTTAGCCCCTTATATTTTATTTTATTTTTTTTTCTTTTCTTTTTGGTTTTTTGAAACAGGGTTTCTCTGTGTAGCCCTGACTGTCCTAGAACTCACTCTGTAGACCAGGCTATATGTGCTGCAATTAAAGGCATACCCCATTATGCCCTGCTAACCCCTTTTTTTATTAAAACTTTTCAGTGTAACTTCAAACTGTTTTAGGAGCAACATCCAGTAAAATAAGATCTAATTGATTAGAACTACCCCTAAGACCTCAACCTAGAGGGAAAAACCTGTCCTCTGGGGCTCTTACAACAGTGGGACATAGCAGGGGTAAAGTTAGTGAATCAGGAAATGCCACCCTTATGTCCTGACACTCCCGGGTGATTATAGAGAGGACATAGAAGCAGACAAACTAACACTTCTGTACTTCCGTAATTACAAGGCCTATGTGTCAGGGAGAAGGGCCCACAAAGCTAGCTGTGTGTGAAGATGGGGCTGGCTCGCTCTCCTGCCTTCATGCACGCTGCTGCCTACGAAGCTTGAGAAGGCTCTAGTGAGACAGCGACGTTGGAGTTTGAAGTCTGGGTGGAAACAACTAGGCGTGGGCTTGGGGGCAAGAGTCGGCCAAGGCGCAGAGGTCTCAGAAGGAAGAGGCTGCAGGGAAGGGACTGAAGCCTGTGAGACTGACTGTAGAGTTCCTTTTGGTGTTCCAGGCAAACCAGAGCAGGGCCAGGACGATGCTATAGGTCACACACACTGAGGAGGTTTTTCTTCCCAGGAAAGCCGTTTCACATAGGAGAAGCAGGAGGGCAGGGCAATGGTGGAGGTGGAGATGTAGAGAAGAGGACCCCCCTAGGAGACAAGACAAAAAGATAGAGACAAACTCACAATGGGGTGGACAAAAGGAAGGAGAAAGGTGGTACCCAGTTGCTGCGGGAGTCTTGCTTTACCAACGAGGACTTCTTTCTTTCTCCCCGTAACTCAAAGTTCTGAGTAATTGTTTTGTCAACTGCTTGCTCCCAGTGTGAGAAGTAGGGAATGACCAATCGCAGGCACTCTTTGTGATCCTCCTTGATGCCCTCAAAAACAAGAGGTCATTTGAGAGTGGGTGGCCAGGCAGAGGAAGAAGCCAGTAGGCAAGGCTGGCCAAGAGGGAAGGGTACTGGAAAGATTCCTGCAGGCTAGTATACAGCACATGTTTTCCCTGTGCTATATATAGCCCTTTGAGTGTGCACACCTTGCCACCGTTAGTTTTTCTTCACATCCGATTGCCGCAAGTCTTCAATTTGCACAGATCATGATGTAGTGCACTATAGTAAAACACACCTGTTTCTCCCGAAATGGAGCCAGGGAAGACAGAGAGGCAAGGTAACGGGAGACCAGACACTACCAGGTCAAGGGGAAAGAGTCTGGGGACCACTGACCCAAGAAACTGGAGATACGGACGCTGTGAAGGAGCGTAGCCCACCCAGTCCTAGCCTCTCAGCGGACCCTGCGAGAATCACATCTATCCCATTTTATTATAAACGCGGAGATCTGGGAGGAGTCAGAAGTGAAAACAAAGCCGGGCCTGCAGACACCACTGCTAGCTAGGTTGAAACTGTCCTCCTTTCCTCCCCTTGCATTTTTAATAATACCATCCGAGCTGTAACACAAATACGAGGTTATGTCTTGCTTTTAACATTGAGATGGCAGAAAACAAAACACCACCAACAAAAAAACAACGGTCTCAACCTCTTTCTTTAGTGTAAGGGAAAAACGGTTGAGAAAAGTTGGTTGGGTGGCGATACTGATTAAAGCTGCACTCCAACACTCAACCACGAGGGGGATGACTTTGTTTATATATATAAAAAAAAGTAGTTTCCCAGTGCCGGTGCTTCCGGATTTGGCCGGCACTGCACCAAAAGCTGCAGAGACTTTGTACTCGGGCAGTACAGTGCAGAAGTCAGAGCCTCCGGCGGTGTAGCGGCTGTGTAGAGCTCTGAAGCCATGCGGTACCTACCGTGCCTGTTGCTCTGGGTGTTCCCGTGGGTCTGGGGACAATCGGAAGGTGAGTGGAAGAGCGCACAGAAGGGGCTGGAGAAGGAGGAGGAGAGTGCCTGGCTAGTAAGCGCTGCGATTGTGGGTGGGTGGAGGTGGGACTCTGGCGGACTTGGAGCACACAAGTGGACGGAAGCTTGTGTGGACCGGGTCCAGAGCCGAAGGCAGTTCTGAACCCTAGTCTGTATCTCCCTATCGCAAGCCCAGCTAAGGCTGTTCTTTTTTCCTAATTGCCTGCGGACTTGGTCACTCGCTATGCTCATTCGGTTTTCATTGTTTCCAGACCAGCTAGAGAACTTCCCGCTGCGCTGCCTGCAGATCTCTTCCTTCCTAAACAGCAGCTGCTGGCGCACAGACGGCTTGGCCTGGCTGGGGGACGTACAAACGCACCGTTGGAGCAATGCCTCTGCCCTTAGCTTCCTGAAGCCGTGGTCCCGGGGCAAATTCAGTGACCAACAGTGGGAGAAGTTGCAGCATATATTTCAAGTTTATCGAACCAGCTTTACCAGGGACATACAGGAATTAGTCAAAATGTTGCCTAGCATGCACTGTGAGTAGAGAGATGGAACCCGAACAGGTACCCCGGGGGTGAGAGAGGCCCCAAACCCCACCTGGAGAGCTGAGGGCCTGCTTGATGAGATTCTCTGCCTTCTCCACCCTTATGGTTTTCACTTCTGTCTAGAGAGATCCTTGTCTTTTCTGAAAATAGTCCCTGTTTCTGCTCCAGGCCACCCGCTATCATTTCCCTCAACTGGGACCTAACTATTGTCTTCATGCCAATTTCTCCCCTTTCTTCCAAACTTCTTAATCACTTTGATCTCCACCCATTCCCCTCTACAGATCCCATTGAGATACAGTTGTCTGCTGGGTGTGTACTGCACTCTGGGAACACTTCGGAAAGCTTTTGCCATATAGCATTTCAAGGACAACACGTCATGAGTTTTCAGGGAACTTCCTTTCAGAAGGCCCCAGATGCCCCACCTGGGACAGAGTTGGCCATTAAAGTACTCAACAGTGATCAAGGGACCATGGAAACGATCCAGCAACTTCTGAACTACACCTGCCCCCAGGGTGTCCGTGGCCTCATAGAAGCTGGGAAAGCAGAACTGGAGAAGCAAGGTCAGCCCGCTCTCCTCACCCCGCCTCTCCACACGGGTTACTTTTGCGCTCTCTCATCACTGCAGGATTTAGAGAAGGGGCAAGGCTTGGCAGAGGTGAAGAAGTCATGTGGGGTTTGTTCTTTTCACTGACCATCACTCTTGGAGTCTATGAACTGGGTTAAACAAACACTGGGGATGAGAACTGAGCCAGGCAGTATTTGGGATACGCTTGCTCTATCTATCGACTGAACCCAGGGTGTTCTGGAGCACAGAGGAGGGCCATGCACAGGACACTTGCATCAGGGAAGGGGTAGAAGTATCATGTATGGTTCCTAGTCGCAGTGAATCAAATGGATTGAAACTAACAGGCAACGCCTTCTCCAGCCGTGGACCCTTGGGAAGCATGAACTTGACAGGTCTGGAGCCTCGAATGTGAATGTTCTTGTTTTAAGATTTATTTTTTATTCTCTTGCCGGATACAGAGAAGCCTGTGGCCTGGCTGTCCAGTGGCCTCAGCCCTAGACATGGCCATTTGCAGCTGGTGTGTCATGTCTTCGGCTTCTACCCAAAGCCTGTGTGGGTGATGTGGATGCAGGGTGAGCAGGAGCAAAACAGTACTCAGAGAGGTGACACCCTGCCCAATGCTGATGGGACGTGGTATCTCCGAGCCACCGTGGACGTGGAGGCTGGAGAGGAGGCTGGCTTGGCCTGCCGGGTGAAACACAGCAGTCTAGGAGGGCAGGACATCATCCTCTATTGGGGTAAGGAAAGCACTATAGCCTGAGTTGAGAGTGAGTAGAGGCACCATTCCAACATGGAGCGAGAGTTGAACAAACCTAGTTTCAGAGATGACACCCCCTAACTATTATAGGAAAGATAGGAGGAGGGAATTCTAGATACAGAAAGAAAGAAATCCCCCCCCAAATTGAGGCAAAATGTTCTGTATATAGGAAGAAAGGAGACCCAGAAATTCAAAAGATCCAGAGGCAAATGGCAAAGAAGTGCAGGAAGACTCATCCCCCAGGATAGAGGGCTCAGGGCCCTGTAGTGTCCCGAGTGCCTCGTGTGTGAGCACCAGCCCCTCTGCTGCTGGTGTACCCTTTGTCACTCAGCTTTGAGGCAGGCACTGCTTGCTCTTCTGACTTCATAGATGAAGAAGTCCATGCGAAGATAGGGTAACCGCCCAGAGTCACACAGAAAGATGAAGAGCTGGGAGTAGACAGATCCTGACAAAAGATGCTCAGTCTAAACTCAAGAGGAATAAAAGGATGTAGTTTAAGTGAAGGAAGAAATAGTGGCATGGCTTCCTTACATGTGCTTAGAATAGGGAACTTGAAATGAGGATGGGTTCTTGTTTAGAGATACCTTGTATTCTTCCAAAGCAGGTGGCAGACATTCATCAGTGGCTATTATCGTCCCGGCAGTACTAATAATAGGAGTGTTAGTTCTTGGGTCCTGTTTTATGCTCATCTACAGGAGGCGCCGGTAAGTCTCCCCTTCCATGTGTTCCTGTCCTCAGCATCCCTCCTATATTCCCTCCTTTTCTTTCCTAATGGCCTCTCTTTCCTCACAGCTCCTATCAAGACATCCTGTAGCTCCTCCTCACACCTGCCTCTTCTGAGACTCAGACCTTCCGACTTTTAGGACTTCGGTCCTGGTCTGCTCAGGAAGAAGTGAAGAGCAAACAAAGCACCCTTTCAACATTTATTTAAAAGAAAGTAATTCCGTTTCTGTTGTATTGCAAGTGTACCAGCCCAGGTGGTTTGGAACAAGCGCGATTGCAGATGCCCATTTCCACCAGGAACGAGCTGTGGGCAGTCTTCTATGGGATTTGCACTGAACTGGAGAGCACAGGTCCTGCCCAAACAGATGCTTCAGGGTTTGGTGACAAGTGTAAAGTCCATCACAACATAACTCAACTTTGCGGCTTTCAAGAAAGCTAGAAATATGGATTTCTGGGGCTGACATGCAGATTTTAAAAAGTAAACTCAAATATTGGCACTGTTTGATATCTTAGATCCACACCTGCTGGATGCGAATATAATGATAACCCCAGGGCTTCCAGTTTATGGCTCTTTAAAAAAATGTTTGTCCTAAATACCATAATGATAATTTTAGGACATAGTCTCTATTGTAAATACGTATTTGTGACTAAAGGGTGTATTCTCTTTATTAATTAGGAGATCTTCTGAGGTTTTGTTTGAAGTAACTGTAGTTTTAAAAAAGAGAAGTCACAGAATATGCCAATATAGTTGAAAAACTAGTCTCCTTGAGATATTTCCCTCAAACACTGCTATAATTTGCCTCTGAAATGTACCCCCAACACCCCATGTATTGAAGGTCTGGTTCCCAGCCCATGGCCCTATCAGGAAGTAGTGGTCACAGTAGCAGGTGAAGCCTGCTAATGACACAATGGGCTGATCCAGTCATAGTGGGACACAAAGTCTCTTTGCGAATGCAATTCCTGGACCTAGAAGGAAACTCGAGGATTTTTAAATTTTTTTTTTGTCTGAGAAAGTAGGGCAGGCAAGCTGGAGGTCTGGGCAGCTGCCAGGAGGCGGCAAATGGAAAGACAGGTTATGTCTTCAAGAGCATCAGCAAAAACAAACACCTTGAAAGACAGAGTAAACACACCAGTCCTCCAATCTGGGCATTTTTACCTCTAGGCTTTTACTGAAGGATCATAAAATCTCTGACCTCTCTGGGGGACAAGGGCCTTAGAAACAAGAGCAGCATTTTACCCTTTTGGGTTATCAGGGAGGAAATATTTAATATTATTTGGTTTAACCTTGCAGTGTACTAAGTGCTTCTCAGGGTGACCTAGAACTCAAGCTGTGTATAAGATAGGAAGGAAGGAAGACAAGCTACAGCAATTGTCTAGTTTCCCATCTAGTTTCGTTTTTAAAGCGATTTAAAACCCCTAACCTGGGCTTGTCTTTAATCTGGAAATGAGTTACAAGTGACTTGTAGAGAGTTATCACTTCCTGAAACGTCAGTGTTGGATTACATTCAGTTTAGCTATGGAAGCCCACCCAGCACTTGGAAATAAATTAGAACAACTTGGCAATTTTCCATTATTGTGTTTTAAATCTGTCTTATTTTAAAACTCTGTAATGCCCTGTTTACCACAGTACTTCTAACTATTGACAGCGCCGTCTGTTTTAGAGGCAGTTGAAATGCTGATGTCTCTATGTGGGGTTGAAATGCCGATGTCTCTGTGCGAGGTTGAAATGCCGATGTCTCTATGTGGGGTTGAAATGCCGATGTCTCTGTGCGAGGTTGAAATGCCGATGTCTCTATGTGGGGTTGAAATGCCGATGTCTCTGTGCGAGGTTGAAATGCCGATGTCTCTATGTGGGGTTGAAATGCCGATGTCTCTGTGCGAGGTTGAAATGCCGATGTCTCTGTGTGGGGTTGAAATGCCGATGTCTCTGTGTGGGGTTGAAATGCCGATGTCTCTGTGTGGGGTTGAAATGCCGATGTCTCTGTGCGAGACCTGGGAAGTAGATGGTTATAGAGGGAGAATCCACTCTGTCTCTTCAGGCGTAGCGTCCTCTGTTGGTGTTTGTGGGGAGATAATGGAGCCCTTGCTCTCTGCTTTCTCATTGTTTCCTGGCTGCCATGATGGAAGTAGCTTTACCCCACACCATGCCCTCACCCGTATGCCCCTCAACAACAAAAATGATAGGGTCAAAGTTACAACTCACACCCTGTGAAACTCTGATTCAAACCTTCCACCTCTAAGCCCCTCTCCCCCAGAGATTTCTGTCACAGTGATGAAAATATGACTGACATGAATTGTCACATTTTACGTTTGGAAGATGATAGTCTTATAGGTATTATCTACCAAAACGACAACACCAACAACAAAAGTTGTGTCTCTTTTTAGATGCTAAAAAAAAAATACAGGGCAGTGTGCTTCTTACTACAAAGCAGGGAAGTCTGCATTACAGACCTCAGATGTTGTAGGGTGTCATTTCTTAGCTTAGGTTTGGTGGGAACTGAGGTTATGTTTATATAACCCAAATAATTTACCCAGTAGTCTAAATGATGTTAGTTCGCACTCAGAGGTAGGCAGTAACTTGCTACGGATGGAACTAAAGATAACCGAGGTAACCTGGCTCCCACCTTGCAACAGTCCACATCTCTACAATCAGAATTGATCAGTCAACCAGCACTATAGGATTTTTAACATAGGCACAGGTTTTTTTTTTTCTTCTGTCAACTTCAGCATATTAGTCCAGTGATGGGGAAGTCCTTCAGTATATATGTTTCTCTTATTGGTTAATGAATTGGTTAATGAAAGCACTGTTTGGCCAATAGCCAGGCAGAAAGCATAGGCAGGACTGCCAGACCAGGAGAAGGCTGGGGGAAATGAAGAGAGAGAGGCCTTGAAGTGATGACATATAGAGACTGGGAAGATGGGACACACCAGGCATTCTCTGGTAAGATAAGGCCATGTAGAAATACATAGATTAGTAGGTACGGGTTAATAATTAAGAGAGAGCTCTCCAGTAAGAAGCCCTAGCCATCGACGAACAGTTTATAAATTAACATTAAGTCTTTGTGTGTTTATTTGGGGCTAATCGGCCGTGGGGCCAGGCTGGAAAGAAACTCCAGCAACAATCCAGTTTATGAGTAGTGTGTTCACTGTTGCGAACTGTTCTAGCACAATGGACTCTCCTAAAGTCATGACATTGTTGGGCGTTTTCACTGTGTCACCCTGAAGAGATGCAGCGGGAGCCACGTATACTTTGATACTGTGAGGTACAGCAGAGGTGCTGGAGGCCACCCTCCAGGGTGCTGCTTCTCGTGACTCCAGATGGCCTGCACACTTGCAGTTTTCCTAAGGACTCTTGAGATTTTCTTTGTGACTCTCCCCAGGTGCCCGTTGTCCAGGGACAAAGTACAGCATGGTGTAATACCTAAGACCATCTTGGCAGTTGGCATTTCCAGCACTGGAAGGGTTAGACCATGGCACTGCTGTATGACTGTGCTGCTGTCTGCAGGTTTCTACAGAAGTTCCCCTGACGGCGCGCCCTGAGGCCTGCAGGCTTGCTTTCAAGTCATCTATTGGCTGCATCCAGCTCTAACTATGATGAAGCAGTAAACTTCTCTACAATTACAGGAACCTACCAGTAGCTTTCCCAATGAAGCCTTGAGCCCTGGCTTAGGGGAGAGTTCATCCTTCTGAATTGTTCTTCATTGAATTTTCTCCTTCAGCACTGGGGATTCACATGGAGTTTCCTATTAGCAATACATATTTACTTATTATGGTTTAAGCATTCTCTTAAACTTCCCCTATTTAACTCATGGGATTTATTTTCTACTGGGTTCTATCAATACAGACACCAACTTGGTTGCCTACCTGAATCTGTGAATCTCCAAAGCTCAGAGATTCAGGATTTGGATTAAAAAGAAATGAGGAGAGGGGGTATGTGATCGCAATACGCTGTATACAAGTTAAAACTGCCAGAAGTTTCTATCCTGCCTTAGGAAAATTTGTGGACTGGGTAAAAGGTTCTAGCCACAGAAAGGTTTAAAAGCCAAGGTTGAAAAACTGGAGAAAAGTGGGAAAAGATAAACTAGCAGAAAGTTGGTCTGATTCAGTCTCATGTCTCATCTGTTGTCCCGACTTGAGTGCTGACGGTTACTGCCGACCTCCTCCCTGGTAGCTCGGCTCCTGCCTCCATGTCTTGTGTAGGTGGTCACCGCAGCTGTGTGTTCTAACCTGCAGCAACCATGGGATCCTCAAAAGACAACACTATATGGTATTCTTCTCCAATCTCCGAGTCTCTCGGTCTTTCTGCTCCCTCTATTGCCATGTCCCCCGAGCCTCAGAGTGGATGGTGTGTAGATACATGCCTCACTTAGGACCGAGCGCTTTGCAGCCCATTATTCTCAGTACTTGCTCCAGTTTGACCCTCTGCTTCGATCATCACTCACTGCCGTGAGATTTTCCTGAATGAGGCTGAGAGGTGCACTAGATCATATGTATACCGTAAGAATCCAGAAGGCAGTGCAACTACATGTTCCTCTAGCAAACATCAGTAGTAAATTCTTCCATACAGTTTATGACCTCTCTAGCCACCACTGTTTAGCAGTAATAGGATCTGCATTCCCTGTCATGGAATGGGCCTCGGATAAAACCAGGATGCAGCTTGTTATGCCTAGAGCAGTTGTGGCATTATTCTACCTGTGTGCACATTTTGTGTAGCACGTCAGTATTGTGGATACAGGGTCCGCCTCTGCATTAGACACTCACCATCTGAGCAGTTGGCATAGCACCTTCTAGACCATGTATACCCGGGGCAGAAGACTCTGGGGCCACCTTGCTTTCTGTGTCCTGTACCCAAAGTGTGTGTTGCCTTCAGTAATGAGGTCTTGCTGCCTAATTCTGGTAAGAAGCAAAGAGAAGTGACAATGTCCTGTATTGTTTTGGGGCAGAGGCTCTATAGCTAACAACTCATTGGGAGGTGTTCTACGACTGGTGCTAAGACTTTGGATTTATAACCTCTCAATTCTGGAAGCCACATACTTACTCATTCAAGGAAAAGCTATTCAAGCTCCTTTCTGTTAGGTTATAAAATATGTTCCCAGTGGCTGTCCTGGTTAGCTTTAATAGTCAGCTTGACATAGCCCAGAGTCACTGTGTTAGTTGAGGTTCTCTAAAGGAACAGAACTGATGGAATGAAAACTAAAGGAGTTTTATGAGAGTAGCTTACAGGCTGTGGTCTGGGTAGGCCAACAACAACTGTCACCTGACAGAAAGTCCAAGTCGTTCAGACCACAATAGTGGATGTCTCAGCTTTCCAGTATGAGGCTGGAGTCCTACAGGATCCCTAGAGAACTGCTGCTCTTTAATCTAAGTTGGAATCCCTCAAAAGTATGAGCAAAAGGATGTCTCAGAAACAGGATGGATGAATTTGCCAGTGAGAGCAGGGACAAGCAGATACGGCCCATGTTTAGAGTGGGCCTTCCTCTCTCAAATGCCCCAATCAAGAAATCTCTCACAAGTGTGCCCAGCAGCTTGATGCAGTCAGGTTGACAACCAAGATTAGCCATCACATCATCTCAGAAGGGATTCTCATTTCAGGGATTACCCAGATCAGAATGGCCTGTGGGAATATCCATGGGGGATTATCAACTGATGTAGGAGGGCCAACCAGCATTAGGAGGTACCATCCTCTGAGCAGCTGGTCCTGGGCTGTATAGGAAAGCTAGCTAAGTATAAGACTGAGCAAGTCAGTGAGAAGCACTCCTCCATGGTTTCTGCTTCAAGATGCTGCTTGAGGTCCTGCCCTGACTCAATGAACTGTAACATTTACAACAAAATAAACTCTTTCCTTCTCCTAAATTGCTTTTGGTCAGAGCGTTTTCTTACAGCAACAGAAAGAAAATTAGAACATCTTTTTCTGTCTGTTTGGTTTTAGTCGATTTACCCCTCTCATCATTCTTCTGTTTACTCACCCCAGACCCCTTTAGACATTTCCCTACCTCTGCTTTCATTTCCCTCCCTCAGAACTGTTTCCCTATCATGGTCCTTTATTGCTGCTTGGCCTCTACTGACACTTACTCCAACTCAAACATTGTAATCTGAGTATTTGTGTCTTAGATTTGTGTAACACATGTTCTTTATCAGGTAAGTGATTCACAAACACTTTCTACAAGTTTAAGCTTCTCTTTTTTGTTCTTTGAACAGTGACTTTGGAAGAGCAAAGTATTTCAATTTTATTAAAGTCATGTTTTTGATGTCATGTCTATCCAGTTTATAAACTTATTTTCCACAATATTTAAGGGTTAGCTCTTACATGTAATTCTATAATCAACTATGTAGTAATTTTCGAGTAGGTATATAAATTGTTTTTTAAATGAAAGGCTGTCTTAGTCAGGGTGTTATTACTATGACGAAACAACATGACCATGATAACTGTTATAAAGGAAAACATTTGATTGGGATGGCTCCCTTACAGTTTCAGAGGTTCAGTTCGTTATCATCAAGGTGGACATGACAGCATGCAGATAGACATGGTGCTGGAGAAGGAGCTGAGTATTCTACATTTGGTCTGAAG